GGGTGCTCGGATCTGGCCTCCGAAGAGACTGCTGTCTCAAGCACTGCCTTCTTGGCATCTGCACGGAGCTGATCTTCGTACTGCTGGGTTAGGGCCTTTCGGTCCTGACTGCCGAGCATGACCCACATGTCAGACGGGATATCGGGAGGCCTTTTGGATCCGGCCTTCCTACGGACGAGCCGAACCCCATCCCACACATAGCCATCAGGTACTGGTGACCCATCAGGCATTATGCTCGGGTCGAATGCACCGCCTTTGTCGGGCACGACAGGCTTGGTCTTCGCTTCGGATTTCTCCGATGCGGCGGGTTCCTCGATGTGGGCTTGCCCACGCTCCAACGGCACAGGATCATCTCGTATCCTAGCACTGGCAACAGGTGGATGAGATGCAGGGTCTTTCAACAACCTCATCGGGAAGATGAACTCATCAGTCGGAAGCTCAATGCGCTTTGTTCGCTGTACCGTGAGGGACGCATGTTCGATATGGTAATCGAGCCCTTCTAGTTTTGCAACGAGGAACTCACCCTTCCATGCGAACCCAGGCTGAATATGGTACCCGAGAAACACGCCTTCATTCGATGTTGGCGAAGTCTTGCCTGCCTGATTGTCAGCTCGTGCAGGGTTGTTCCAGAACAGTACCTTTGCTCCGAAAGGTATCTCAGCTTCATCAAAGGTCTTGTGAAACCTGAGGTACCATGGCGAATCGTTTCCATTCAACTGTGGCAGGATGTTGGTCGCAACTGCATTGTGCTGGATTGCAAATGGCCACATCGACAGTGGAAACCCTGACTGAACAAGATTCGCACGGGCTCCCTCCAACAGATGTCTGATCTCCCTTTCTACGAAAGATTTGGAAGAATCAACATATTCAATGGAGGTCTGATGACGGTACCCCAACTGCTCTATTGCGGCTTTCAATTCCCGGGAGTTATCAGTGTAAAGAACCTCAACCTCATCCCTACCGGAAATGAAATGCTGGATCCCTGCAACGGATTGCTCCGTGCTTTTGCTGGTTGACGGGTAAACGTACCTGAACTGCGTATGCACATCCTTGATCACAAGAGCACACCATTCACCTTTTATGCCTTGCTCGATGTTGGCCTTGAGAATCACATGATCAGCAATGATGTGATCTCCAAACGCTTTCGTCTCGAGCCTTCCCTGCCCGCCTTTCGATCTTGCATATGGGGCAAGCATCTTGGCACGTTGGCAAGTGCGGCAAAAGGGATTCTTCGGATAGTGTGCAAACAAGTGCTCTTTGGTACCTGCTTCGGCAACCAGATCTTGCTCTTTGCGGGATCTCACGAACCGCTCAACTTCATCGTCGGGATCATCACCTTCGTCGATGCCTTCGTCATGAACCGGCGCAGGCGCTGGCTTGGATGCTGCTACTGCGCTCAACGATGGCTCAGAATCCATATATGGCACATGACCGTCAACCTTGAGCTGGATCAGAGCACCATCAGGGCGAACCATGGTTGGCGCCTTCCCGGATTCCACAATGGAAGGAATATCCTTGATCCAGACACTTCACACCCAGCGACAGCACTGCGGGAGAACTCTCGAGGATGTAAGGCTGAGCAGGCTCACGCAACGCATCGACATTGATGTCGGCGATTTCGGAAGCAGTGATGTTTCCGTTTGCAGTCACAAGGCGAATGGGCTGAGGGGCCTGTTTTCGAATTGCCTTGGACGTATTCCTCAGTGCAGCTTTGCTGATGAGGTCCTGCTCACTACCGGAATCAATGAGCCACACATCCTTTCCCTTTGGGGCAGGGGTGGCTGCCCTTGGCGCTTCGACATCCTTGCGAACATCGTGAGGCGGCATGGCAACTCTCAGGCACTCATCACACGATAGGCTTGAGATGGAATCGGATTCCACATCGCACATGAAACCGCAAGCGGGCTGGGCTCCATTCTCCATGGCTTTGACTACGGCATTCAACTGATTCGCGGCCTTGCGCGCTGCCTTGTTAGTCCCTTTGGTCGGCCTGGGGCAGTCCTTGGCACTTGGAAACATCCTATTGTACTGACGTTCCTCATACTCAAGCTTGAAACCATCGCCTTCGGCGGGGATCTCATGAACATGAGCATTGGTGTCGAATGACACTCCGATTGGGTCGATCGGCTTTGCGAACATGGCGTACCTGGTGCAGACTGCAGCGGCTTTGGCCTTGGGCTTAGGCTTAGGTGAATTTGCACGCTTCTTAGCCGCAGGATTTGCATTGGCCTCGCTGCTCGATGCCGCAGCGGCAGATTTGCCGCCCGTGGAGGCATGGCTAAACTTGCATTTGTCACCTCTAGTGCACTTCCCTTGGGCAAAGAAAGAACACGGTGCTTTCTCTCCTTTACCGCCTTTAGGGGAACTTGGCCTGCCGCGGGTCGCGGAGCGTCCTCGCGGCTCCTTGCGGTGCGCGTAAGGGCAGTTTGCCCCCTCGTGCACGAGCCCTTCTGGAAGTCAAAACAGTACTTCTCCTCGGCGTCCTTCGGCTTAGGTGCGCTCTTTTTCTTGGGGTCCCTCTTTTCAGGGGCGGCAGCACCAGCCTTGGGCGTCGGGGCTTTACTGGCATTGACCTTGGACACGCGCTCTCGGTTCTCGCGGAGCCTATCCCTCTCGATTAGATCCCTCATGCAACGCATTAAGAAATCGTACGATTTGTTGGGATCATCATCACGGCAACGATCATATGTGTCAATGTCATACCGCAACAGATGGCAGCTTCTCACTTGGCGAAGCAAGATGTCTTTCAACACCTTTTCTTCCGGCGGCCTTTTCATGCCGGCGATCACGGAATCCCAAGCGTTCAGGAAACGCTTGAGATCAATGATTCCTTCGCCGTGTCGCGAGACACGCAACAGGTCCTCCAAGGAGTAGAGGTTTCCGGCTTCTTCACTGGTCTTGAAATATTGGTCAAACATAAACAAGTCCTGCCTTCCTCTCATGGCCTTTCCCTCCTTGGCACATTCTTCCTTTGCTGTTAGGATTCGCTGAGCCAGATCGCCTTTCGCTGAACGCGTGAGCGCTGCGAGAATCTTCGTGTCTAGGGTCACGAATTTTCCCGGTTCGCCGAGCTCCTCCAACAGCTTCTTCTTGTCCTCGCGATCGGACCAGACTTCCATGATCCAAGGCCAAGCCTCGTCTGGACGGTCAGATGCGGCGCGGACATCCTCACGAACCGATGTTTTCCATTCACGGTACGTTTCAGGAGTTGGCATCTCCTTGAATCGCAACGTCTCGCTTTCGCGGGTTCTGGGCTTTTCATCGTTCGTGTGGCCTTTTACTAACTTCATCAACATTTTGGCGAATGCTTCTTGGCCGAGGTTAGGCCCAAGGCCATCACCTTCGTCTTCATCACCGTCGCCATCGCCATCATCATCAGGTGGCGGACCGCCGGGAGGCTTACCACCCTGCTTGCGGTCAGTTGACATTGGCCCCTGAGAGAATTGCAGGGGTGGGACCGGTGCACTTGTTTTCACCGGGGATCGGCTGCTACCTGATGGCTTTTCAGCTGGTCCTTGCGGATCGCGAGCATCTGCGGTCAGTGCTTCGCATTCGGCAGTTGGAATCACGCTAGGGGTATATTCATCCCCGTAACCGTCATAGGTAACAAGCGACCTCAACTTTTCCTTTGCGTATTGAAACGGATGGGTAAGCGGGTCCAACATTGACCTTTGGGACCGAGCTGACTTCATGTCATCGGTCATCAACTCTGGTGAATCCTCTCGGGTATCACCTACCCCTTTGGGCTTCGAACCATCCTCGCGGAGGTCGTGTTGCTTCTGATACTTCTTCAGCTCATCGAGCTCGTCCTGCAGAAGCCCGTTTTGGTGGGCCATCATGTCAACCGTTCTGGCGTGTGTCGCCTCAACACGGGCTGTGTCATCGGCATGCTTGGCAGCTTGCTCATGGAGGAGCTGCTGGGCTTCCGCCAGGGTGGATTCGATGGCTTGCCTAAACTCAGTTGTTTTGCGTCCCATTTCCGCTTCATGCAATGCTTGGGCATTTTCCTCACACACTTACACACTTGGCTTATCCTAGCTTCAGCGAAGTTCACTTCTTGAACGAACTCATCGCTCACTCGCTGTTCGTATTCACGAATCCTATGCGACTGGGCTTGCACACATTCAGCGTAGTGTGCATGCAGCTGATTCTGTGCGGCACGGAGCTCCTCACGGTTTTCCGCTTGCAAATGCGTAACAGCTGCTTGATGCAGGGCTTCGGCTTCAGACCTAATGGCTGCATCATTCCCAAAAGCAAAGATTGCGGTATTGTACAGTTGAAGGGAATTCATCAGGGTGCGGTTGTATTGCGCATTAGCGCTTGATGCGAACGTTCGCACACCGCCGCCGGTGGCGTTGCCGGAGCTAGCTCCGGCAGCATCCACAGGCATGCTGGATCCATCAACTGGCACAAGGGAACCGTCCATTGCTTAGAGCTAGGGGCCTACGGCTGATAACCTATAGATTCAAGGGTTACCGGTTTGGGGCCCAAAAAGAAACAACAAACCGTCCAAGTGCGCTGCTCGCACATTTTCACGCTTGAACAGCCACACTGCGGATGCAATGGATGTAAAACCCCATACTGACCGATCAAATTCTTCAGTTTTGACCCACAGCCACATAGAAAATAGAAACATCTCAAGGCTGGCTCGGCTTGGAAGCCGCTCATGTCTCTCACGAACTCCAAGCAGCCCAGCAACGCGGGCCGTTTGGGGAGGCTACCCTCCTGTCCACCAACTCGGAACCCACCAGACGGTCCCTTCTAAAGGAAAATTGCCCAAATGGGAGTGGGTCAAAATTAAACCACTAGGGGACCGCAGGTTTTAGTCCATGTTTCCATTTACCAGGGCCAGCCATTTTGGGTACATATGTTTGACCCACAGCCAAATCCCGAAACGTCAGATTCCATGTCGATGGACAGGAGGGCTCACCCCCTCCGTATTGGCTGGGGAACCAAACTGAAAAACCGATCCCTTTCAACCCTCGGCTTGCGCCACCGGCCTGGAACAAGGAGGACACGGCCTACCCGAGTCACCCGGAATTCGGGGTTGGCCTTGGCCCTTTTGGGCTCGGTTTGGTGCATGATGTTCAAGGGAACACAAAATCAAACCAACCATTCTCGGGGTTCCCCCACATTTTCAAGGGAGCACAAAATCAAACCAACCATTTTCGGGGTTCCCCCTCAAAATGACTGGTGTTTGCGGGGGGCACACACATCGTGTCGAGTAAGGCAATCAAAAAACGGGCCACCCCGGCTGATGGCCTTACGGACTTGCAAGACTTGGGCATAGGAAGCGTGGACCGGAACTTGGGTGCTGTAGATCCCCCAGCAAAAAGTTGTTCACTTTTTGCTGGTTAAAAGGAAATATCTGGTGAATCCAAAGATCCAACCCAAATAGCAGTAGAGGGAAGCGATCAGAGGTTTGCCGGTTTGCCATGAACTTCGAATTTGCGGTTCATCAAAGCCCGGTAGGACGGGACGCGCAAAAACGTATGACAGGGTTCACCAACAGATACATCCCCGAATAACGTGTTCAGAAGGGAATTCTCAACTCAGCCGGTAAATGTGAAAATCAATGCGGCCAACATGTATCATGTGCGCAAGCCATTGTGAAGGATGCAGGCACGCACCCCCTGTTGGGTCATTTGGAAATGCCGGGAAGCTGAAAGGTGTGCTGCCAATTGCCTCGAGCTTCAGAAAGCCTTAAACCTGGTCGGATAAGTTGAAGGTTGGCTGTCAATGGCAAGTTTCCAAATGCTGTTTCTTTCAGTTCTCATGTTGGTTCTCCGGACAAAGTTTGATTTTTTCTGTCCCTGTTCGGCCCCGGTCAGTGATAGACTCAGATTGCCGACGTCTGCAATGCAAAGACGCCAATTCGGAGCTTCCACCCAACCAAATTCCACAGGAGCCCTTCGGGGAGGTGTTTAATTTGGCCGAAAGTAAGGACTTGTCCAAATTATAATCCTTGTCTTGGAATTCGGTTCATAAGGATTCTAATTTGTACAGCCATATGAATACCTTAAGTACCTTTCTTTTTAATTTGTCCACATCAGTGGTTCCCTGCTCAATCCAAAACTCAAGTACCGAGCCTCAAAGAAGACAGACCCACGTGAATCTCGATCCTTCTTAACCTTTTTGGATTGCCCTCCAACCGGGAAAGAAAGTTCCATCACCATGTCCTTCAAGAACTCCTAGCTCCAACACGCTCTCCCTCTTAAGCAAATTTGGATACCGCCAGCTCCCAGCTTCTCTCCCCAGCCACCAGCTAAACTATCGCTTAAACACTCTCCTTTTGGTGTTCCTTTCCACAACCTGGGTATGGTTGTTTTAAACTCTTGCTATTCCCTAGTATTAACCACGTATTAATCAACCCCACTTTATCAATAGGGGGTGTCCAACTGGGTTTAGTGGTTGGAATTAGACTACTTTTGGAGAAACCCACAAAACCCGTTTTAATATGCACTGGGGTTGAAATTCGTATGGCTGTGGGTCAAAAGCCCGTACCCCCAGTGAACATCCCAATCCCCATTACAATAGACTAAAATGGGTGAATTCACCTGCCAAGATGGAATCCCAAAACGGTGTTGACCACCACCGCCATACTTGCTCAACAACTGTTCCAAGGCAACCCAACCCACCGAACCACACATGAAGGCAAAGCTCGACTTTGTTGCTTGCGCAAAGGAACGGATCAAACTTCCATCCAGGAAAACACATATGGAACTCTGCCGTCCTTCCCGCCCATCCCCCCCCCAAAAAAAAAAAAACGGCAGCGGCTCCTGGCCCAAGGAGCCCCAGTATCTCTGGATCTCCGCCAGCCTCTCCGCCTTTTCTCGAGAGCCGGGCGCAAGCGCAAACGGGGTTCCCAAAACG